TAACCATCTCGTTTTCCAAGGCGGTCCTACAAACAGCAAGTCATAACAAACCAAAACACAATCACGTCACAATACCAAACATAAAAAGACTAATGTAATCAACAACACAAATAAATTAAAGAAAACTAATTGGCTACAGTATGGCCAACAGAATACATTTTCTATTCACAATGCATAGATTTATTCTCTAATATTTTCCCCAGTCCGATTTTGCGATCAATTAAAGTACATCAATCTTATTTCAAAGTCTCTAAGTTTTGAAGATACCCCACTCCGGTACAGTAGGTGGCGGCATGCACCCTAAGAACTCTATATCCATGACAACAACAGACGATACGTGCACCACGTCACTTCTGGGCAAAAAATTACGGTACCGCCCACTTTTTTGGGAAAACAACGGCTGTCATTATGAATGGCGGTCAAGCTACAAATTCTGATGTTTTTGCCAATCCGATCAGAATGTTTTGAAAACCGTGAATTTGTGGATCTTCAAAGAGCCCGATTACGATGGCCAGTCAGGCAAACAATTACATTCAATCATTTATTAATCGAAAATCGGTCTCGATATATGGTTAAATTAAAATCAGTAGGCGAGGCTGTAATTTCGCCGGCTGTTACTCTCATGAGCGAGGCGGAAAATAATAGTTGTATCATACCAAAAAGCTGCTGTGTCGTTTATTGCACCTCAAATATTAAAACAAATCCAGAGTTCAGTGTTTCTGTACTTCCTCTAAGAAGAAAGGACAGTTAAAGAAGAGCTCTGTGGCTTCAGGCTCGATCGCCGTTCAAATGACAGCGTTGGTTTCCCCCAAAAGTGGGCGGGGCCGTAAAGTGACGAAGATGTTACTCTCATCTATGAAAATCAATAGCCTACTGCTATATTTAACCATATATCAAGCCCGATCGTTTATTTCCAATGGCTTAATGTAATTGTTTGCCTGACTGGCCATTGTAACCGGGCTATTTGAAGATCCAAAAATCCAGGGTTTTCTTACATTTCTGATCGGATTGGCAAAAACTTCAGAATTTGTATTGACCGCCATTCAAATGACAGCGTTGTTTTCATAGATATATAAACCTATCTATGGTTGTGGTCTATCCCCAAAAAGTGGGCGGAGCCGTACTTTTTGCCCGGAAGTGACGCATTTGTTACTCTCATGCTACAGACCATGCCCAACACCTATTTCTTTCCTTATTTATTCACGAATATATATGAACATAATTAATTTTGTATACAAAATAATTCACATCAGGGATAGACATATCAAGTAATATAAAATTACATAAAGTTAATACATAGAAAAACCGAAGCGCTGTGTCACCGGAAACGCTGACCGGAAATACTGTAAACGGGCGGGAAATTGAAAATCTTTGAGATTTCAAAACATTTTCATCACCGACTGAATTAACGTGTATTTAAATAAAGAAGCATATTCTGCAAGAGCGGAGTAAGTACGAGGGCTTTAATAATATAGCTGTGGTCAAAGGTTGAAGCTAACTAAGCTATCTGATGGGAATTCAGTAGCTTTAGCTCGGTAGCAGCTAGCTTTACAGGCTAGTATTAGCTCTGTTCAAGTTGTTTACGTTGTGTTTTCTGACAGGATGGTGGACAGAAGTCTTGTTCAGGAATTGAGACGTTGGGCGACAGAGGAGTTCAATCTGCCCCCGGACAGCCTGCCAAATGACGGCAACTTTAAAACGTGGGTATCATCTTTAGTCTTAAACGTACACAACGTACACAAAAGTAGCAACCTGCATAGTAATGCAAAGCAGTACAACAGCTCTGACATAAATTGTACTTGGTAATGTTCAGTTTGCGTTGACATTATGGGGAACGTGGGATTTATTTGTAGTTTTCAGTGTTGTACAGGATTACATTGTACTGAGAGGTGTTTCTATTTTGATGTTCTCCATATGTATACGAATGAATTGGACACAATGATGGAAACACCTCTCATGACAATGGAACCAACTACAACAACACCACCATGACCTTATTCTCACCTCTATGTAAAATAAACATGACCCTTATTGGCATTTTAGAAAGCAGAACACATCTGAATCAGAAATCAGAGTCAGAAACAGTTTTATTGCCACATACGAGGAATTTGTCTTGGTGCATATAGGGCATACATAAACCCAGTCAAAGAGGATATGTATTGGGTTATAGATTGTATTAAGCTTATAATGTGGCCACTGGCTGTATGTTAAATGTTCTCACAGTTGAAGCTAAATGTTGCATTGTTGAACAATTGTAAAGCTAATCATTTGTTCTCCAGGCTCTGCATCGGGACAGGGAAGTCAATATGGAAATATGTCATCCAACATGTTTTTCAACAGAGGTAAGTCTTCCAGTTCTGATGTTCCTCAATACATTTCCTAATAATGTAGCCATGCTGATCATCCCAGAGCTCACTCAATCCTCCTTAGTCTTGTCAGAAACTGCTTAATTACAATGGGTTAAAGATTTCTGACGTTTTGTTTGTTTTCCCAGGAATGTCAGGATCATGCGTGGCAATCTGCAGTGGTATCCTTTCTAGTCCACATTTAATGATTTTAAAGTCACCTTACATTGGCCGTGGCAATTCATGCGCACATGTGGGTAGCTGCTCTTTTAACTGTGAGTGAGAGATAACATAGACAGAATAGATATGAAACTGTCTTGTTATCTGAACATGGACTTGTAGGATTTTTTATTTTATTTTAACCCTGGAAGTGTGTGTGTGTGTGTGTGTGTGTGTGTGTGTGTGTGTGTGTGTGTGTGTGTGTGTGTGTGTGTGTGTGTGTGTGTGTGTGTGTGTGTGTGTGTGTGTGTGTGTGTGTGTGTGTGTGTGTGCTGTGTTTATCC